GCAGAAATCAATATGATACGCATGTGAAAATGCATGTGCTAAGCAAATGACCAGCTTGTCAGGAAGCATGTGCTGTGCATTGACCAGCTTGCCCACTTGTTGATAGCTCCGTGTTCTTAAATGAGTTCCCTGTTTCGCTTTGTAACCTCACAGTCAGTCAGTCATTCAGATTTTACCTTTAACCTCAAGATTTGGAAGCCGATTGTGATCGAGAAACCGAAATATGCACTCCTAGTTCAAAATATGCCTAGGAAGACTGGCTAACATCACTGCAGGCCATTCCTCTAGTGATCATACGGATCTAACTAATGATGTCGCGACGTCGAGTGTGCGTGGTCGGTAGGAGGCGGCAGCTAGCCGCAGCCACAGCCCGCGACGCGGCCGCTTGAGTATTGCAGAGTGATCTTTAGCTAGAACGATTTAACGATGACAATTAATCACTTCCAATATTCCTCTGCCCTTTCAACTCCCTACAGTTGGTAGCCCTCACAGTTGACAACAAGGACTTACTTCGAGGGGCATCGCTTGGAGGTTGTAAGGATACTCCATCTAGTTCAGGCGAAGGTTCAACGGCGACCTTCCATAGCGACTAGTTGAGTTTGTGATCGGACACGTGTTTCTTTGCAATGACGAACTCTCCTTAGTGTCCGGCATAAGTGTCGGAAGAGGTAGAGCCAACTGTTAGTAAAGGACACTTGATCCGTTTGAAGATATTGTCACCAGACCCACACGTATGGGCAAGAAAAAGGAGTTGGAAGTCAAGGATATCAAGAAGACAGAGCGTGCGGCAGTGGCAAGCGGGAAGGACACCCAGCTCAACAAGAACGTTTTAAAGCGGGAAAAGTCGAGTCAAGTTCAAAAAGTCGACTTTAGCTCGATTCATTATCTTGACCAACCGGATTGCGAAAACCTCGACGCTATCCGAACAAGCCTCATCGAAAAAGTCCAAGCAGCCAAGAGCGTCAACGAGCGAGTCCGGCGCGACTTGGATTGTATAAATAGCCGGTGCAACAGTGAACGAATTAAGTGCGTTCTAGACGAACTTAGCCGGCTTCAAGCACACTTCACCTTTTGGACCGAATTTTTGACAGAAGGAATTGACGGGGTTTTACATCCACAGATCGAAGAAGAAAAACCGAAGTCGCCTGAGTGGTTTAAGTTGAATTAATCAACCAATGTCACAAAAATGGAGGATATTTTTTCGCAATTATTTGCTCGAATGGACCTACAACAACAACAAGCGACCCAAACACAACTTGCGGAGACGCAAAGTCAACTTGCTGCGAATCAACTTTCGTTGCAGCAGCAATCCCAACCGGTTGCGCATCAGCGCGACCCGGAACGAAGAGTGGAAGGATTACCCATGACATCATGGAAATCTTAATGAAAGTATCGGATTGTGTATCCACCGTGTTCGGACGTTCTTTACGGCGAAGAACCTGGACTATGCGAATGGCTCTGAAATCGAGACGCGCTGCCTGCGATGGTTGTGGCAAACCTCAAAGGGCAGGCGGCGGATTGGTATCAGGAGTCGGCAACCCGCGAAGCAGGCAACGAAATCACAATGCTTGTGAAATTCGAGGAAGCACTTCGGGAGGAATTTGAACCTGATGACCTACAAGAGCGGTTGCGCGATAAGCTCTTTGAGTTGCATCAGAGAAACTGCAAGGACATTATGATGTATGTCGAGCAGTTCCGGCGCTTGTGCACGGATATCAAGCAAATGTCCGAGTTGGACAAAGTGACGTTCTTCATCCGCGGTCTGAAGTTGAAGACTCGTGAGGAAGTTAGGGATCACGTGCTCAATATGGTATTGCCGGTACACGTCTTTGGCTATCACCCTTGGCACTGTGATACAATCGCCACGGCACGGTTCCGACTTTGCTGTTGAGCGAGCTTCGTCTCCACAAAAGCTCAGGTACCGATCTTGCCATCCAACATCCCTTCGCACTTGCCGCAAAAGTGTGATCTTGCAACCGCAGTCAGGAACATGAACTTTGTGATGTGCCGCTTCGATTGGCACTTGCGTACAGGGAAATCTTCATCTTGCAACAGGTAGTAGCGTCGGTTGACTTGCGTCACGAAGAACTACATCTCATCAACGTGCACCCGATCGAACATATCCGGCCACTCGAGCTCGTCATCACGTCCCGTACGTAGGAACGAGCGAGCGAACGCCACCCGCTCGGCCTTGTGCTTGTCCGTCAGCATGGGCTTCACGCGGCTTGTGCGTCGTCGAATCTTCTTGGCCTCGACGAGCCTCCTCAGCGTTGTCGTCGCGATGCCAGTGGACTCGGCCAATGCACGGAATGCCGAGCGATGGTACGGATCGGCGGCCTTGACGGAAGCCTCCAGGTCGGCCAGAATAGTTGTCCGCTTGTGGCTACAGTTTCCCTTCTTCTCGCGCCGACACATCAGCATAGCTCAGAGTCGCCTCCGTAGATTGACCACGTCGCCATAAGAGCGATGCTGCTTGCGGCATCACACCATATTCAGCACACAATGCCTTCATTGCAGCGACACCGTCCTTCTTGATCGCGACCATCGAACAATACAGTCGATTGATTGGATGGTTCTCGTGAACTACGGCCAGTAGAATTGATCTAGATATACCTCCTTGTTGATGATGAATTCGACAATGTTTTCAGCCTGTTTGAGCGTTTAGAATGTTAATAGTTAATAGCCACCGAGTTATCAAAAAATAGAAAACCCACAACAGTATTTTTGTACGGAGGAAGTACATTATATTTTTCGTCTCATTTGTTCGTTTCTGAATCGAGATACATGCTAAGTTGTTTCTGGTTCGGGTGCCATGTTTAAGCCAAAACGAAGCGAGCAACTATTCGGACCAGAGTAGTACAAGCGTAAGCCTTTCTAGTAATGGTTAGCGCAACGGCATCAATAAGATGGAGGAAGGGGCCAAGGTTCAATTCCCGGGCGATGTCAAACTTTTTTCCCAAAAATAAATAATGCATTAATTGCATACAAACATAAGAACAAAATTGCAGCTATGAAAACAGTTCATTATTCGCATATCATAGGAATAGCCTTTTCAAAATTGCGACGAGTCTCATCGGTGGACACCATATCACAAGCTGCGATTGCGATTTTCACCAAAGCCAGTCTGTTTCCTCCGGGAATTATCCGAGAATGGATCGTCGTCATCACCTACAATGTGCTCCTCGTACAGCCGCATATTGCGAAGATTGCGTGTGAAGGGTGCCATGACCCCAACATCCAGGGGTTTTCAAACGGACGTGGCGTTTGGAGGCAGTTCACAGATGTGAGAGCCCAGCTCACAGTACATGAACTTAAACAATTGTTCAGACACGTGCGCGTAAAGGTGTCCATGAGGACAACCGAAGGCTCCTCGATGCTCTCATCAAGGGCGCGTTGAAGGCAGGACGCCCAAACTCTTCCATTCAACCGCGCCCGTTATTGAACCGCATAGTAGTGATCGCTCGGAAGCGTCAGGAATTCTGTCTTCTCGATCCTGCCTCCCGGGACGTCCTTCATGATGAAGAGGATCAACAGCTTCGTGCCGTCGGAGCGAGCGGAAAACATCAGTCATTCCATGGAGTGCTTTTCTCCGGAAGATATCTTGGAGCATCCACCGCGCACAGCCCAGATATATCTCGGTGGAGTGTCATATTATATTCCCGTCTCATGCACACTGTAGATGCAATCGTTCCCGTACGCCAGGAGCTCGCGATGGAAATCTTCAGCAATTTCGTCACGAACAGACGCCAGGGCGGTTAGCTTGATCTTTTTCTTGGCCGGACGTTGACGGGAGAAGCCATGCCAGTCGCAGAAACGATGAATGAGCTTGAGGAGGAAATTGTATGCGGTGTTGGGCTTTTTGCAGCCAACTAGCGCAGTAGCCAGTCACATTGATTTGCTTTGACCTAGGTTAACATGAGGGTAGTTGTAAGGACTCGCTCGTTCTCTCTGACGTTGTTGGTGAGCTTGATTAAGTCAGGAGGGTCGGGAATCTCTTTGTAGCAGCCATCCGGTTCTAGCTTCATGCGCTCTTGTAACTCTCAAACACAAAGTCCATGATTGGACTGTTTTGCGTGGAACTCCAAGCTCCAAGTCGACTCTTTATTCGGACATAGACTCGAGTAGTCCTAGTACTTCCAACCTTTTGCGATTGGGTACGAACTTCACCTCAAGTTTCGAAGTGCCATTGGAATTATTTTGTCGATGTGCTTTGGCGGGAAGAATTTTAGTTTCCGCCAATAGGAGGTCGACTATTTGGTGTTTGTATTTTATTGGATAAATATTGCGGATTTCCTTGAAAATTGGAGTTTACCCCAAATAATATGAACGCGCTCAGATTCACGCAACATTGACGCATACAAAAAACAAGTCAAAATATTGAACGTTTGTTATCAGATTTATAAAACGTCTCGAACGTGTTC